CTCTCACTCCATTCTGATTTATTATTTTTTTTTTTTATTTCAATCGAATTCTATGTTTATTCTTCAAGAATTTGTAAATGTTTCATAAATTATATAGTAATTCAATATTTGTCATTGTTTAACAACAAGTATCGCGTGTGTTGATTTTTTTTTAATTAGAAGACGTGTGATGATATATTAAGCTTATATTAGTATAAGTTAAGCTATATATTAAGCTTAATATTAGTTAAAATAAGCTATTTTTGTATTCATAGATTTATATTATAATTACATTGTTTTATCCGTTATAACAATACAAATAATTTCAAGCGTAAAGAGTTGAATTATTACTTTGCTGTACTTTCGCAACAGTCGTTCGTTACGTGTCACATCAGAAAAAGACCATTTCTTTTTGCTCAAGACGGAGGAGTAACTTATGAGACCAATCATGAGTTTTTGATATTTGTTTTCTTTCTGTCGAGTAACTTCTAAAAGTGCATTCTATATCGAAAGCTAGTAGGAACACCTTCACGATTGCATCCTCTCCACCTTCGTTAAAAATTTCGTTTTTAACTTTTAATTTATTTTATTTATCGATTCGGATGAGTTTCGCTGTGTAAAATAAAACTACGTGAGAAAATATGGCGTGTGCATGTCATTCTTTGTTATAAGTTATTTACTCACTTTGTTTTACCTTAAAATTGCCTTTGCTGAACGTTTTTCTCGAGGAGAGCAATTTCTCAGCATCAAAGAAAATAGAAACACACACAATAATTTTATAATTCAGTATTATTTCTTTTTTGTTGCATAATATATTTATACATCATCTATGATTTGTGTTGACAGTGAAATTATTAAATTAAAATACTCAAATCTCATTTAACTTTAATTAACTATTAAGATTTGCTTCAATTAAATGATTACGAGTTTGTTGTAAATTAATTCTAATTGTAGTGGTCTCTACTAATTTTATTAATTGGCGTAGAAGAGAAACAAGGAATTGTTCAATCAATACAAGGAGCAATCAATAGCGATTCTCAAACAATAATAGTACTTTGTTACATTTTTCAATAATTTGCAATTTGCTATTACGGGGTTCACGTCAGTCTTAAATCAATTTCCATGATTGATTTAAGAAAAAGAAGATACAACTAAATTGACTTGAATTTTAATCATAACTTTTTCGCAAACTTTTATGTTTTTCTTCATTAAATATGCGGTGGAGCTCAATTCTTACCTTAGCTATGCACGTTTCTTTATTCATTACTGTTTATTAATAAAATGGATTTTGTTCTTATATTTTGTTGTTCTTAATTACGTAGGTATTTAATTATATCAATGATAAATTTTCGCGAATCACAAAAATTTGTTTTATCTATCACACAAAGTATTCTATAAACTGTATTTAAGAATGTTCTTTATTCATAGAAAAATATCATATTTTGATTGCTTGCTTCGAGATGTCTGCGAAAAGGCTACAATATCTTTCATACTCCAGAGCGGAATTCTACGTGAAGATTCTTGAATTTCTCTTTTACGGGCATTCTCGTCAAAGCAATTTCTTCTTTTTCCGTTAGTCTCTGTCCACTTCTACCGGCACTTCGATAATACGATCGGTGATATAATTCGATAGAGGAAAGTCCGTCTCGGAGTGCCATTTCCTCTTAAACGCGGCCTAGTGATTTTATTCGTTGCCCCTCGACAGCGTCTTTATTTCTTTGCCGCAATCGGAAAATATATATACATACATATATTTATCACTATCTATCTTTTCTTGCAACCCAAAACTGTCAAAGGATGTGTAAATATAGATTTACACGAATTAGACGAAAGGTTAGGAATGTAAAGAACGAAGCATTGAACGAAAAATCTCTTTTTTTCTTTCTCTCCCTCTTTGACGTCTATTTTTAAAATATTACAATAAAGAGAATTATCAATGAATCAAGGAGAATAAACAGGCACGAGTAAAGAAATTGAAATTTTGTGAAAGATTGAAATCTTTTTTCAAAACAGGTGAGAAAGTGTACAAGTCAGTAGTCACGACGATGGTTTCCTTTCTTCGCGTAATGAGTCATTCTATCCTTTTTCTTGTAATCTTACTGCATTTTCTTTCGATAAGAGCAGTCTAAAAAACAATAAACATCTTTATATAAACACGTTTGTATTATATAACCGAATGAATTACCAGCTCGTATTGTAAACAACATTGTCAGGATAAGAGACCAAAGACGAGCGAAATATAGGTGTCAGTTAATATTTAAATATAACTATGTGATTTTACATACTCTAGCTTCAATGAACTGCGAACCGTTACTATCGGATTCAACGCAGCATTTAAAACAGAATCGTATCATCACGCTGTTAAATAATTTAATGAGTACTGATGCTTACTTGCATCTTTTAATAAATCATCCCCCTTCCCCCCTTTGTTGCGACTCCAAATAAATTTAAAATCACATAGTTATATTTAAATATTAACTGACACCTATATTTCGTTCGTCTTTGGCCTCTTATCCTGACTGACTACGTTTGTATTATTTAAAGCTAACTTGTGATTTCTTATATGAATTAAGTAGATTGAATGCTATAATTAATTTCAGAGATAATATAAATTCATAATTTTCGAAAATCTAAATAGCTAATAAGCCTTACAGAAAAACATTTAACTTAAATACTGTAAGTTGAATATTTTTCTATAACACTTGAGAATATCGCAAATTAATATATTGCCTGCAACATGACTATCTAGAAATATTCAAATTATTTTAAACACGTCAATATAAAATTGTTATTTTATCATTTAGGTGGATATTACCGAACTCTGTCCATCAGCCACTGTATTGGCACAACAATTGACTCATGTTGAACTTGAAAGACTTTCTTATATCGGACCCGAGGAATTTGTGCAAGCTTTTGCTAAAGTGAGTTCATTTCTATACATAATTGCAATTTTGTAATTAAATTATTTTAAAAATACTTTTACAATTTAATAATTATTTCTATTGTAAATTATATTAAACGCTATTATTTGTACTATTCTGTCAGGAATCGCCGCATTTAGAAACATCTTTCAAAGATATGAAGAAAACCCGCAATCTTGAGTCGTACGTTCAATGGTTTAATAGATTGAGCTACTTCGTCGCGACGGAAGTTTGCAAGGTAGGTCGTAGTATTGTTTTAAATTGTATATAAATATTCTTTCTGCGTACTTCTCGTGTATAATTCTTATTGCTTAATCCAAATTTTTTAGTAAAAAAATTAAAAACAATTTTTTCTCAAAAGAATGACGAATGTGCTAGACATTTTACAATTAAAAATTTTTCTCTACTTTTTCAGCATGCAAAGAAGAAGCAACGCGTTCGTGTCGTCGAATACTGGATCGAAACTGCTCGAGAATGTTTCAACATTGGCAACTTCAATTCTTTGATGGCGATCATCGCTGGTCTCAACATGTCCCCGATATCTCGTTTGAAGAAGACGGTAAGAGAGAACACATAATTTTCTTTTATATCGTTTGTATCTTTTATTTTATATTTATATTAAATTGTATAATAGGAAATTATAAAAGTAATTCTAAATTTATGTACATTTTATTTCCAATATTATAAATATTTTCTACACCAACATATATTAAATTGGCGTAATTGCTCCACAAATTCTATTAAAATTTTGGGGTAACAAGTTCCGCGAAAATTGCGTCCAATATATTGAAATCGGCATCGATACATTTTATTCGTACAAAGATATTTGGGACAATGCGTGTATATATCTCTCAATTTTTACATCATCCTAACAAGAGAGTATTTGAAAAGTGCAAATATTCACAAAATGGGTGGTGTTGACGCATTTTTTGCATTAGACTGCAGTATTGGGAAGGGATGGGGAATAATGGTGAAATGACACAACTGGCAATGACATATCCATTCGTTTACACACTTTACACCCTTTCGCGGGACTGCACATCAGAGCAATAAGCGCCCTGTAATCGTCATATATAAATCGAAAGTAGTGTGCTGAAACGTTCAACAAAGAGTGTGGCAAAATGCCGAGAACTAAATTATAGTACCGCGAAAAAAAAAGGTATCTATTAAGAGCGAGTTTGATACTTTTGCATGTATAATCGATTTAAGATAGGCCGTAAATAATAAACTCTTCCATTTTAGCTTTTGAATAATATAATAATTTAGCTTAATTTTTATATATAATTCACATAGAAATTAGTTGTATAAAGTTGTTCCCAGTGTACTACTGAATGGAAGAAGATGTTAGGCAATCGCTGTCGATGAAAAGAAAGCAAAGACAGAGAAATCGAATTAGCTTGATTGAATTTTTCCTGTCGTGGTTGGCCGTGACGTCGCAGAAAAGACCCGAAATGTGGCTCGCGATTTGGGTTAATTAAAAAGTTTCAAGTCAAACGGCGTTGCTCGGCAACGTTGTCCTCGCGCCATTGCCGTTCCTTTCGTCTCGTTGGGAATTAGCTAATTGCCCAACCAGCGTTCCATGTCCACGGGGAAGGACTCGCGCTATTACGTATTCTCGATTTCCACGCGGATGCACTCCATCCAGGAATTCCTTTAATCCAGTCGTCGCTCCCGGCGGAACGCTCTCTCGGACATCACTTCCCGAAAGCTTCCATATATATTTAATATTTATCTCAATAATGATGAAGCAAAGTACATTACCTCACGAGAAGAAATTAGATCTTTAATAATTGGGAAACTATTTATAATTCCATAATAAAAAATTTATTATGGAAAATTATTTTAAAAAATATGTCTATGTATAAATATCCATATTAATTTATAGATATCAGTGAAGATCATAATACATACAGGTTGAAATCTTTGAAACCGAAAATATCGGAATCGTAAAATAGATGAAAAATATTATCTTATTTGAAGCAATACAGATTTAATAAAAAAGAAAATCATGTAACATTTTTAATAATGATGATAAAAATATGTTTAATGTATTATATATCTTTGAGTGATATTTACGACTGATTAAAAGGCAATTTATCATGATTTAAAAATGATTTATATGCTAATTTAACTTAATTAGTTATTAAAAAATTTTAATTAAATATAATTACTATAATATACTATATTAGCTAATTTACTATATTAATTTACTATATATAGCTTAGCTAATGAGAAGCTAAACAAAAACTAATTAAAGCACAGAATGATTGACTTTAGACCTCGCAATAACAATTTGCAAACGAAGAGAAATCTAGATTGGAAGAACAATTGAATATCAATGTTGTTTTTTTGCGCTCGCATTATTATTTGTGCCACTGTTATCACAATTTCTTCTAATCCCGTTGATATATCATCAAATTCGAATTCGTTTATTGTAGAAATTAATTTTATAACTTACCAAGATAAAAGAAAAACGATATATTACTCATTTCGATACGAAACGAAATGACATCGGCGCGGCGGCGCGGCGACAAGAATAAACATCTGTTGTACGCGGGAAAATAGAAGAGCAAGAACAACGTAAATTTTACATTCTTTGTGTGATAAATAATAAAATAATTAAAATTAAAATCAAATTTTTATACATTACAAAATCAATATTTCAAAATGTCAATGTACTTTTAAAAACTAAATTGTTAATACTATTATTTTGTGAATATGAAATATGAATTCGCGAAATGATACATTTCATTATATGTATGGGAAGAAAGTCGGCAATAAATCTGGAACCTGCCGACTGCAAATCAATCGCTTTCACACAGACTCATTTCAAGTTTTATTAATATTTATAATATTCTCTTTGTGTTTGTTGATTAATTCTTTCAGATTGGAAAATTTCGAAACCATTCTTTGAATAAAATTATGGCTTGCTAATGCAATTATACTTTTCCTTATGATTTCTTAATTAATCAAATTTCACGACTTGAGATTTTCTTACTAAATTTTGAAAAAAGCTTTTACTGAAGGAAATTCCTTATTACTTGCATCCCCTGTGTCCTATTATTTCTATTATTTCGCTGGTCTTTTTCTAGAATCTAGAAAGTAGATTCTGTTCCTTTCATACGATAGTATTCCGACATCCTTTCCGGCGCAACCAGTTTCAATTTACCGGATCTGGCAGGAGTTCCCGATTGCTACTGTTTTTGCTCTAGACGAGCGTTTCCGGTAGAGTCGAATCAAGCCGGGCCAAGAAAAATGGCTCTCACGACAGGCAGGAGAAAGTCTCTGGAGATCAAGTATTTGTGAGACAGAATCAAAAGTCAAAGTCTCAGCTGACAAAATAAAATTTTGCGAAATAGAAAATTATTTACACATAGATAATCCACTAATTATAAATATGCAACTTGAAAAGAAGGAATGTAACTAAAAACAAATTTTTACATTAAACAAATTTTTATTCTTTATTAAAGAGATTCACAAAAACTTGTATTGAGACATATATTATTTATTGTAATATTTTGAAAATTAAAAGGAAAGAAATGAATAGTAAAGAAATAAAAAAAAAACATTTATCAATGTATTATCAAAAGATTTTAAATATAAAAAATAAAAAGACTAGGAAGATATAAAAGTATTTCAATCGTAATATATTATTCGTATATTATTCATCGACTATCTGTAGCACCTTTAAACGAGCAAAGCCTTCGAACAGACTAAAAACAAGATTAAATCGGTGAAAGTTAAATAAATTTAAACCTTGAGACATCGGCTTGGATGTGTATTTTGCCGCAATTATCAAATATTATGTAAAATTATATACATTGTTTCATTGATTTTAGGAAAAATGTTACTTATTAAAATTAAAAATAAAACTTTTTAACAGATAATTTTACAATTACAACTTTTAAAAAATGTTTTAAAAATCAATCTATGACTTAGGATATATTTTCATGGTTTTTAGTGGTCGAAAGTACAATCTGCCAAGTTTTCGATTTTGGAGCATCAGATGGACCCGAGCAGCAATTTTAGTAGTTATCGTAGCACATTGAAGGCCGCAATGTGGCGTAGCGCTGGCGCTACAGATGAACGCCAGCGAATCGTAGTGCCCTTCTTCAGCCTTCTCGTCAAGGACTTGTACTTCCTCAACGAGGGTTGCAGTAACAAGTAACTACTATCATATATATTGCAATCTATTTATATTATAATTTCACAATATAATTTAAAAAATATATTTGTATGGGAAAAGGGGTCGCGTCTAACATATGCATATACTAATAAACTTACATATAAAATGTTTATTTAAATTTACACATTATGTTTATGTTAAATATTAATGAAAAGAGTATTTTTTAGTAATGCATTAAATCTTTAATCTATCTTAATGTTCTTTACAATGTAAAAAAAATTATATATATATATATATACCTATATATATACAATATTATTTTAAATTTATTTTAAAAGGTATTATTTTAAAAAGTTAAAAAATCTTAAATTTTTTATGAAAAAAAATTTCGTTTTCTTTTTTAGACTTCAAGTTGTAGCTTGTATGAAACAGATAAAGATTGTTCATCAAATATAATAAATACAACACATACTTAAACATGACAAGCTTTCTTTTAGCTAATTAATTACTAATGCTCAAATTCAATTATGCATTTTAGACTGCCAAACGGTCACATCAACTTTGAAAAGTTCTGGCAATTAGCGAAACAAGTGACTGAATTTATTGCGTGGAAACAAGTTGCCTGTCCGTTCGAAAAGAATCCGCGCGTTATTGCCTTCCTCCAAGCGAGTCCTGTACTCACGGAAAACAGTAAGAAATATTTATTCTATTTCGTTGTAGAAATGCGAAGACAAGAAATTGTTCGATTTTTAATATTTGTTGTTTTTTCCTTGCAGCACTTGCATTAGCATCTTTTGAATGCGAGCCACCCGATAACAATCCGGAGAAAGAACGTTATAAAGCTTTAAAGTGAGTATATTGCATTATACTATTTAGACACAATATTCTGTTAGATATAATTGTTATTATAATGATTTTATAATTGTTGTGTATATATATATGTATATATATATATAATTTTAACTACACAACAATTATAAAACTATTATAATAACAATTATATCTAACAGAATATTGTATAAATATATATATATATATATATATATTTACAAAACCCTGTATATTTACAAAACAATTTTGAAAACTCGTATATGTAAGTAAGAAATAAAAAAAAATTTACAATTATATGTTATAGGTCTGAGATGAATGCCCAGTGAAAGCGAGCTATACTGAAATATGCTGAATGGGAACGATATTGATATAATATATATGAAAATACATTTATAAATATTAATATATTCGTAATAGTAGTTTATGCGCAAAGATGATAAGAAGAAAAATGAAGAATGGATGGAAGGAAGAGTAACAGCGGACTGAAGTATTACTAGGGCAACTTACGCGAAATTATGTATTTCTGTCTTGCGAATTTATCGTCAAAAACATCTCAACAACGGTTTAGCATTATCAAGAATATTATCTAATTGATCAGAACAACTGCACTAATTTCTCCATTGCATTTCTTTTTATTTTATGTCTTTATTTGAGAAAGAAAAAAGAAGGAGGAGAAAGGAAGATAAAGAAAGCTAAATTTTAAAATATTACTCTTTAGTTCTGATTTTGAATGGTCAAGTTATTTCAACCGGTTTACAGATATTCAGATTATCATAAAGAAACATTATTTGTGCAGTATATAATGAATTTTATTTAAAATTTATAATCAACAAGACTATGCTAATTAATTGATTACATCTAAATGAGAATCAGTATTTAAATGTTAATTGTCAATAAATGAGATTGCACAGATCGGTCGATTTTGATCAACATTCATGAATCTAAAAAAGCAAATTTGAAGTTTCAATTATCTTGGTGACCAAAAAAGTTTTTATAGTCAACGTGGCGCAAATATAAGAGTTAAAGACGCTTTGAGGACATCTATGAAATTCGCTCGACAATGTCGCATAGCCGTAAGTATAGTTCCTAAGCCTTTGGCTCGCAGGTATCTTTTCTCTCGAGCAAGAACCGAACCGCGACTCCCTTTATTTTTCCGGACGATTCCGAATGTAACCCGAAGAATCTCGGATCTGCTCGAAAGAGATGTGATCGGCGCGTTCAACCTTTTGTATATAGTCCTTTTGATATACGCTAACAGACTCCTAGATGTGAGAGATAGGGCCGTTCCTGTAGAGTAAGTCTGTAAGTAAGCTATAAGTTCGACAAGTATATCGTAAGGATCGTCGTGCACGTACTTAAGAGGATGAGGAACTAATCGCGAGGACGGGATTAATCGAGACGAGAAAAATAAGAGTCAAAAATTTCGGCGAAATTAGACGGCTCAACTCAGCATGAACTCGATTTTCATGTTTTTGATTTAATTTCATAAATCTAATCACTTTTTCCATTTCTTCTGTGACGCACGCGAATATAATCTATGAATGTAAAACAGCATGAAATGGAACAATGCTCCATGTATAATTCGGACCAATGTAATCACTGAAGTAAATTTGGTTGCGACAATCTCGTATGCTTTTTTATAAAATTTGACTGCAATTAAAATCAGAGAGATATTCTGAAAGCTGCACTTAACATATTGTGGCCACAAATTATTCTTGTAAATTATAACGTAATACATTACGCAGATTTACGAAATTACGCGTTTATTTTCCCTCAATATTTATTAATATGATTTAATTTACAAATAACTAATTGTAAGATGTTATAAATTTAGCAATGAAATATATTTATTGAGATGTCAAAGCACATCTGAATGTCACAAAAATAAAATTGACAAAAATTGGCTTTTCCCAAAACGAAATTGGGTTCGGCATTAATTAACGTGATTAATAAATGTAAATGTAGTGTGCCGTGCCTTTAATCAAACATAGCGGAAATGTATTAAACACACAATTTATAAAATATTATGAGATAAAATTATGAAATACTAAATGTCAAAAATATATTCTTAATCCGTGCGTCGCTATTTGTCGCGAGATCATATACTTTTCTCATTAATTCATAATTATATAAATTTATAATTTATTGGCCTTCATACTGATCGAAATTACGGTTCTGCTAGATATAATATACCAGATAAAATTTCTTTTAATTTTATATTCAAACAAATTTGCTCAGATAAATTCGAAAAAAGAAGACATGTGTTTCCAAACAGAGTTATAGGGACCAAGAGTTCGTTTCTCCTGGGTACGTAAATATTATCTATGGCATAAATAAAATGCCGAGAAATTTCAATATGGCACGATCAAAGAAGGGAAACAAAACTGACTATTTCGAATTTCGCTCACCGGACTTCACAGTCTGAGAGAAAAATTGCATGTACAAATCGGAACGTATTTTTAAACCACGATCTCATTTAACTGAAAGAGATATATACGTGTTGATTGAAGAAATAATAACGTTATGTAATAATATTTCATAACTCTTCGAAACGAGACAAAACATTTTCTTTCATTTCTTTTTTTGTTTATTCCTATTTAGTCTTTTTTAACAAGAATTCTATATTCGTTCTCATTTTTTCTCACACTCAATAAAATAATCGATATTGAAATAGTCAATCGTAGTTTTATCTCGTTAACGAGAATATTTTCCATTGTATTTTTCATACACATTGTCGAGGAGTTGGAGATCATTTTTATCATCTTTCTTACGTCTCTCTCTCTCTCTCTCTCGGAAGAG